GTTTTACGCCGGATGTCCTTCCTGACAGAACCTGGATTCAAACCCGTGTCCTTAACCACTAGCCTACCAGGGACGGCTATGTTTTCATCACACTGTTCACCCTTTTCCAAAAGACAAACCTCCTCAGCCTTTCTCCATCGTAGCTATTCCCTATTTATAATTGTTTGAACATAGTTTTTGTTAATTATTATGATTTATTGATCCTGAGCTGTTTTATTTTCAACAATCAAATCTTTAGAAATAAATTGAACTCATGTTCAAGCGGCTACACTGAAAACTATTAATTGGCAAGATCTCTGGGATCAAGAGCGTTGCACCCTATCTATCAGTGTAAAGATAGTGTAAGAGATTTTCACTTCACTTTAGTGCTGAAAATGGTTTCACAGGAAGCACTGACTAAATTGACCATTATCACTGATAAGCTGGGCTACTGTTCCCATAGACACAGGTCCACCTTTTAGCATCACTCTCCGGGCAGCATTAAACTGCCTGTTCCCACCTGTCAGTGGATTACTAGCTTTCTGACAGGAAGCACCAGATGCGGCTGCAGAAAACCACATCCAGCACCCGGACAATAAGCACAGGCGCCCCTCAGGGTTGTGTGCTCTCCCCTCTGCTGTTTTCACTCTACACCAACGACTGCATCTCAAAGGACCCCTCTGTCAAGCTCCTAAAGTTTGCTGATGATACAACGGCCATCGGTCTCATCCGAGACGGCGACGAGTCAGCCTACAGACGGGAGGTTGAGCAGCTGGTCCTGTGGTGTAGCCACAAAAACCTGGAGCAGTGGACTTCAGGAATAGTCCCCCATCTTAACCCCGAGCCCCCCACACTCGACCCACTACAGTATGATTGGACAATAACCCTCAGTGCAATACCTGTAAATATACATTGTACAGATTATACAGATCCGTACAGGTCTCTGTTTTTAAGTACTCGGTTTTTATTCCTATTTATCTCATTTCACAATGAGCATTCCTTTGTCTGTCTGCATTGTTTACTGCCTGTTTATACTGCTTATTTTGCATTGTTTGCACTGTTGTTGCTGTTAATCCTGCTTATTTTGTTACACAGCCTTTTGTTGGTTTACTGTTTACTTGCCCCTTGCATGGCGATATGTACCTACACATTGAGAGCCAATGTACCAGAGTCAAAGTCCTTGTGTATCTGACACACCATGGTAGTGTGCGATTTATACTGGGAAAACATTTCACTCTGCAAAAGTAAAGATGAAAGCTTCTGGCATCTCAGCTCTGTACAGTCAATGATGACTTGGGTGTCAGAATATTTGCCAAACACACTTGGCATCATGGCTTGAATACAATCAGTAGCCATCCATATCCCAACAGCACCCAGCGAGGTGTACAAAAAAATTGCCCATGTTCTGATGATCCTGCTGACAGTGGACTGGTTAATGTTGAAGCGATCACCTAAGTCCTTCTCCTTCAGACCCAGTGACAGGTACACCAAGAATAGGAACAGTTCAATTAGTGGAAGGCATCGGCTCTGTGGAGGCAGACATGTCTTAGTGGTAATAACAGCCTGGAGACCATAAATGTATGTGTGAATTGAATTACCTGTACATTATTTAGATATTGGCGTTGTTTTGGGGGATAATTTATCAGTCAGCTGTTTCTATAAGCAAAATTATGCAGTATGAGCTATGCCTACTGCGGCGAGATTGCTCAGCATCCTTCTCTGGAACTGCTGTTGTGTCTGTAGTGCATGATCTGGTACCAACACGCACCATCCTCCTTGTTGCAGGTTCAATCTGTCTCCAAAATGCCTGCAGATGGCGGTAGCTGGCAAATCTACAACATAAATGAGTTCAAATGATAAATTATAAGGGGTTAGCCCAAAAACTGATAAATGTATTAGGCTCTGTGTTTCTGGGAGCTCCTCTCTCCAGCAGCCAGAGTGTGTGTCTCTGGAGGAAGGAACAACCCGGGTCATGTTTGTAATCTTAATAAATCCGCACTAAAATGAAGAAAGACGGACTCCTTCCTTATTCAGATCAGTCCAATAAAAGAACAGGGGTATAACAAGTGTAAGTGTTTTTAAATGTTTAAAGAGGTTGTTAGTGCTGCTGCTATGTGGCACACTTTATTACAGACAGAACACATGGCATGACCTTTGGTCGTGGAGGAAAAATAACACCACACTGCGTTTCTTTCTCTCTCTCGACCATCCATGCTGCTGTCTGTGCTCACTTCGAGCAACAGTAAGCCTTCAGCTCTGACATCTGATAGGCTGCTGCCTTAATCATGTGACACGGAAGACCATCTAAAATATGCCAGGGCTGGTTTTCACATAAATATAATACCTAAAGTCTCCGAAGTGAAAACAAATTGCACGTTTTGCATTAGCACAGTGGTATCGCAAAATTTAAGGACAGCAGCAGTCTGAGAAGCTGCGGAGAGCTGCCAGATGCGCAAGGACTACTGACATGGGCAACTTTTTGTGTTCTTATATAGACACGACTGTGTGTGCACTAAGCAGTAACCTCCGAGGCTGAGAAATGAAGCAGTGCGGAAGTGCCTAAACCTGCGGCTCCTCGATGGTTCAAGCTGGGACCAAAAGATGCTTTTTAGTCGCGGCTCTGTAACAAACTATATTGCATAAACTTTCCAGTGAGCTGGGTTTTCCTGGACTTTGGCCTCTTGGGTGCTGTAGTGTAACCAGTTAGTCCGGGTTATCAATCACATTTAGCTGTGATTTCTGTAGGTGAAGGAACAATGATTTTGTTTGTCTTCAGTGTGTTTATCATGTCCGCTGCTGGTCAGACAGAGCCTGTTGCAGATCGATCGTACGTTGCCGCCGTGTACGAGCACCACGTAATCCTGAACCCGGAGCCACATTCACCCGTGTCCCGCTCCGCTGCCCTGGAACACATGCAGAAAAACCTGGATGTCTACGAGGAGCAGGCTGCCCTTGCTGCTCAGCAGGTACAGACCTTTAAAATGTATATTTTCAGGAGAATTTGACCTTCTATGGCATGGTGTTGCCCTGAAGCGACAAACCAGTATTTTGGCCCACACATAGTCCCTTTAAATGTTTTTAAAGTAAAAATCACATTAAAAGCCTGATGATAAGTCTGTGACCAATGAAATTTGAGGTGGGAGTGGATTTGACCTTTCCTCTGGAGGTGGAACAGTCCTTTTTGGGACCATAGCCAGCTTGGACACACTGCTAGCAGAAGGTAAGATAAATTTTACTTTTTAACATGTTGAAATTTAAATAAATTTGTATAAATAATATCTGTGATGTGCATGGATATGTGAAGAAGCATATTTGATTGAGTAAAGACACTTTTTGTCTTTATTTATATACTAAAATGGTAGTTTTTCATTCGTTGCCTTAGGGCAACATTGTGCAGATAGACCACTCTTGTGTGAACAATAACATGCTAATGGATGGAGATGTGCAGGGATGCATAGTTATTTCCATAGTCAATTTTTTGCTGTACTATGTACATTACTCACAGGAAATTGATGCATGAACAATTTATGGGTGTAAGGGACATGATAGAGCAGTTAGGCTCATTCCTACCAACAGTGAGGACAGTGAGCTTGAGGAGAGTGACAGTGAGGAGGACTGGACCCCAGAATCAGGTTTGAGGGAGAGTTAGGAGATCAGGGTTCGGTCAGTAGAGTAACATACTGTATGTAATGAACATCTGTGTGCATGTGCATATATGTATGTATGTGTGTGTGTGTGTGTGTGTGTGCGCGCGCGTGCATTAATGGGTGAACAGAGTTATATGACCTATTCTAATCTTATGCTTCCTGGTTTCTTTTGAAAACAGATGGCCTGTCTGATGACCACCTGCTGATGTTCCACTTCATCGACATGATCATCGTGACTGCCTGGCTGCTCTACGAGACTGCTGCAGCAGCACTTGGATGAGAAAAGAGGAACAGAAGAAGCTTCATACGTTCAAGTCGTATATTGCAGAAAGCTTATGCAAAAGTGACAATAATCTGGAGCATAAGAGAGGTCGTCCCAGTTCCACAGTTGCTGGGGAGTATGAAGAAAAGAGGAGAAGAGGACCCACTACAACCATTCTGGTCCCTGATGTGTGTCTGGACACCACAGCCCACTGGATGGTCATGGATGAAAAGAAAGGGAGATGCAAGGTACCTGGATGCAAAGGCACACCTAAAGCCAAGTGCCAAAAATGTGACGTCCACCTCTATTTCACGTCCACCAGTAACTGCTTCCTGAGGTTCCATACAGAATAATACAGACTGTGCTTTGTAAAAAAGAGAAGCAGTACCCCACAGGAACACACGTTCAGAAACACAAACACACACTGCAGCTAATCTCTAACCCACTGACTGATTAACAATTTATGGCTGATGTTTATTGAAATAAAACTTGTTGGAATTGTTGTTGAAATAAAACTTCTTCTAATGTATTTATTGCTTGTTTCTTCCTCATTCCACATATTATATGATATAGAAAACCTTGGTTTTTTTAGTACCCTTATAGCATCTTGTTGCTCTGAGGCAACAAACCAAAATCTGGTGGGGGGGCTGGGGGCGGACAGATTTTATGATTGATATAATATCAGGGGCCCCCAAGCTCCCAAAAACTAGGGTGGAATATTTTTTTCCTCCTAAAATAAAAATTCATGCCATAGAGGGTTAAAAAAACAAGCCATCACTATTTACTAAAAATATAACTGAAACCTATTCTGTCACATTGGTAACTTGCTGACCCAGCTTGTGTTTGGTGTCCAGCGTCTTAATTTCACAATATCTTTAACGTATTTTTCTGAGCAAACAATATTCAGTGTTACTCGGGTTTTAACCCTGTGTAGATTATCGGTCATTGGACTCTGGACACAGTTGTGTAAAAGGCTCCCCACCCTCCTACACAGGAACAAGACCCACAGACTGAAAATGGGTTCTATTTTGTATAGGCGTAGCCCTCTAAGAGCTGTTGCTATCGGGTTTATCCCTCGCGCATGCACAGTCCTGAAGAGATTCTTTCGCGCCCTGTGCCCTACACTGGGCTGTCCCCAAACAGGTCTGCTGTGATGGCATAAATGCCACTGTGACCTGTGATCATCTCCCTCTTTTACTTCAGCAGTCTAAGAAGAAATATCATGGGTAAGTACATTCTTTTTTATCACGGCTAAGAACCATTCCTCACTGCCAGACTCCAGCGTCATGCCACCGTCACCGTGTGCCCAGGCTGCAATTCGGGCTCCATATGTTTACACGTCGAGCTGACTTTCTCCCCCAGGGCTGCTTTCCCCTTCAGGCTTGCTTGCCCGCAGCAGGGACATGTCGGACGGAGGCGCTAGCAGCTATCAGGGAGGGCCCTGTCAATGTCAGTGGCTAGGCTTAGCCACTGGACTCACTTCCCGCCATCGTGGGGCCCCCCCGGCTCTCCGTCGATCCAATGGTCGACCTGGGTGCCAGCAGAGCGAGCCTCCTCTGATTCAGTATGAGCAGGCGTGCAGCTGCTTGCTCCTGCCGCCAGTTAGCCTAAGCTGGCTTTCGGGGCTCTGCTGCACTTCTGACGGAAATCATCAAAGGCCCCACCAGACATCATGTGTGGCTTCTACAGATGGCGCTGCAGAGCGAGAGCGGCGCTCATTGTAAGAGTTCTCCCCACAACGGGGGGCGCAGCTGTGGACCGTGCCTCTGACACACAACTGTCTTCTCAGGGCCACCACCAGACTCCCCAGTTTCTCTGACAATGTTCTCAGAAAGGAGAGGCTCTCTGTCTGTGTGTCCACTGTCTCTCTCGCACACATACGAGCGCTCCGCACACCAACGCTTGTCCACTCACGGCGCATTGCACGGTGTGGCGAGAGCGGCTGTCCATGAACGTTGGATGGACAAGCTGATTGAACCGGCCACACCCTGCATCTTTTCCAGGCACCCCCCTGCTTTCAGCAGCGTGCTGGAAACTGACATTACTCCACCTGCGAGCTCTGCTGCGCTTATGGCAGAGCTGCGGGTGCTGTTAGCCAAAGCAGCTACTGTATCTCCGTGGTGCCACTGGGGCAGGAGCGTGAGGGCTTCTTCTCGTGCTACTTCCTGGTTCCCAAAAATCAGGTGAAAAGAGACCCGTTTTCAATCTGTCTTCTCTTCCCCACCTACAAAAAGAGTAGTACAGAGACTGTTTCACATGCTCACCACAACAAGTACTGGAGTGTGTGCGTCCCAGTGATTGGTTTACTTCCATCGATCTGTGAGATGCCAATTTTATTCATGCACCTGTTATCCCCAACACAGGAAGTTTCTGCATTCCTCCTCCAGGGGTGCATTTTTCCAGTATGACAGTCTGCCCTTCAGCTATTCACTGCCCCCCCACGCGTTTTTCCAAGTTCGTGGAAGTGGCGTTAGTACCGCTACACAGAACAGGAATCGGAGTCCTCTTTTATTTTGCAATAAACCCATATGGAAAAAAAGAAGGACAAGCGCTCACCGGTGACCTCCCAGACAATTTCTTACCTGGGAGTGCACTCAGACTCATCAGGCTGTCCTTCAGGTATTCACTAGCATCCCCACTTTATCTTGGTGTGGTTTCAGTCCTTTGAAAGCCAACAATGTCCCTTAACGACTGAGTCATTACAGCCCAGTATCGGTGACAGTCCTTACATCCAAAGACAGCTGGTGTTTGAAACTCTCCACTTTGCGACCCGTTTTAAAAGGTCTCCGTTTTCGCTACCCGGCTAACCTGTTTCCGTCTAAACGGAAGGCCAAAACGCATACTAAAGTAGGTGTTTATAGTCAAGAGTGGTTCCGTGTCCGGCTTTTCACTAGCACCCCCACTTTATTCTGAGTGCAGTGAAGCGGCGCTAGAACCGCTACGCAGAGCAGGAGTCAAGAGTCCTCTTTTATTTAAACGCCTTGATTCTGATGGCATGTGCCAGACATCACACAGCGGTGCTGGTGCAACTCCTGACACAACTGGTTTTTGTAATAACTGGATGAAGAGCGCTGCGGTGCCCATCCAGACAATCGTCTACCTGGGAGTGCACTTGGACTCTCTCAGCATGAAAGCAAGGCTGTTACCCGCCAGGTGAGAAATGTTTTCATCTCTCCTGCAGCATGTTGTTCCCCACACAAACTAACAGCTCTATCTGTCATGCATTATTGGAAACAATGTCAGCCAGTCATGTCGTAGTTCCTCTCGGTCTTCTTCATACGAGGAAGTTCCAGAGGTGGTTCGGCCATCTGCGCCTCGACCCATTGCGCCACAAGAGGCGCGTGCTCACGATTCCCCCCTTGGTCCAATCAGACCTGGAGTGCTGGGAAACCCCCACCGTCATCACACTGGGAGTTCCCCTGGGCAGAGCCACATCACACGTCTCGCTGTTCAGAGGCCCGTCTCTGCTTGGTTGGGGAGGCACATGTCCGTCACAGGCTGTGGGAGGACGGTGGGATCACACCTCGTCTCTCCACATCAACTGTCTGGAACTAGCCACAGTGCTGAAGGTGGTGAAACACTTTGCACTGGTGCTGAGAGGAAGACACGTGGTGGTGCGATCAGACATTTCAATTGGTCGCACACACCAGCCGTAGGGGCGGTGTTGGTTTGGCCAGCTGCTGGAAACTGCAGGGAACACCTGCTCTGGGCTCATCAGAACCTGTTCTCCCTCAGAGCCGTGCGCATCCCCAGTGAGCGGAACTGCGCTGCAGATCTCATGTCACGAGGCAGACCTCAGCCCAGCAAGTGGAGGCTGAATCTGTCCCTCATTTAGACACTGTGGGACAGGTTTGGCCCAGCGGTGGCAGGCCTGTTCACAGCACGCGGGAATGCGCAGTGTCACCTCTGTTTTTCACTGAAAGCTCAAGAGAAATGGCTGCGCATCCTCCTGATAGCTCTGGAGCACGCATGTGCTCTCTCATCTGCTCGGCGTGATCCAGCAGTGCCCCATGTCAGGTCAACGGCTGTGGGCCTGGACCCTGAATGGGACTGACTGGGGAGCCTAAGGTTGCCTCCGACGGTCATACATGTAATTCAGTGCAAGAGAGCCCCGTCTATTACAGCGCCTTAAGCTGCAAATGGTCAGTTTTTCAACGTTGGTGCATGGAGAGGGCCACAGCTCTAACGTCCTGCCCACTGTCTTAGGTGCTGAATTTTCTACAGATCCTGGTAGAAAGAAACCTGGCTCTGTCTGCTGTGTAAGCGTAAGCTGCTGCCGTCTCTTCATTCCATGAAGTTTTTGGTAAGCGAATTGTGTTCATTGCACACCCTCTGGTGAAACACTTTCTCAGGGGCATAGGCAGACAAGCCTGTGATGCGTTCAGTGGCACCTCAGTGGGATTACCTCTGGTTTTACACGTGCTCAGGGAACCCCCCTTTGAGCTCATAACAGAAATCTCTCTCAAACATCTATCTCTGGAAACAACACTTCTCTTAGCCCTAACTTCGGCTAAGCGAGTGGGCCATCTGTGCGCACTGTTTGTCTCACTGGCGTGCCTTCTCGTACATGAAGACGGCAGCTCAACTGTTCTGAGACCCAATCCTGCCTATGCATCAAAATAATAACATCCTTTGTTCGATCCAGAGTCATTACCTGGATGGGTTCTTTCCTCCGCCCTACAGAGATGAGTCAGAGAAAGAACTTCATGCTCTCTATCCGGCGCGCCCACTGTCCCATTAAGTGGCGCACACGGCAGCTGTCAGATAGACACAACAAAAGTTTTCCATTGGCTCACTCGGTCCTGAGTGTTCTACGCGACTGAGTGGCTTCCCTCTTCGAACAACCGCCACCAAGCACTGATTCCACATGTGTGTGTTCTCGCTCGGGTGATTGCTTGTTAGCCCTGTACACTCACTTGACTGTACTATCAATGCAAGCCGCCATTGTACCCGCTGGGTGTGCCTTTCCTGCACACACACACTCTGTCTGTACGCTCCGTGGTACTCATGTTCTCCGCTGGTAATGTTGTATCTCTGTACGCTGCTACCGCCTGTATGCTCTTGCAATTTGCTGTTATCAGTGCGATCTTCCATGCACTTCTCCTCCCCTATTAACAGAATGGCCATTCTGCCTTTTACAGTGGCAGTCAGATCTCTATACGAGCATGATTGCACCTGCTTCTCAGGCAAGGTCTGATACAGGAGAGAGGATGTTGTCTTTGGGCTGCTATTATGGGGTATCTTGGCAAGCTGGGTTGTGTTTCAATGCTCTTGGGCAGCGGTGTGCCACCAGGGCGTTGACTACATCCAGCTGCACTTTATCCCAATAGCGACAGCTCTTAGAGGGCAGAGCCTATATGAAATAGAACGATGGTTATGTACAGTAACCCAATCTTCTATGAGTATAGGCGTAGCCCTCTAAGCTGGCAGCCCTGCTGTCTCCACCCCCGCCAGCTGAAGAAAAAGTACTAGTGTAGGGAGACAGTGGCAT